AGGACTGTGAGTTAGGTACGATAAAAACGCTTGAAACGATGATGTTGATGAATATTAGAATGACTGCAATGATAGTGACATGTTTCTTTGAGTCAAAAGTAAATATTCCTTGATAAAAAAAAACTGAAATGACAAATTCCTTCSCCAAATATAGATACGAACGAATGTCTAAAATTTCCATGTAAAAACGGTGGAACATGCGCCAACAATCCAGGCAGCTACCTGTGTTTTTGCGTACTAGGATGGCAAGGTCAAAACTGTGATCAGGGTAAGTAAAATATGATCTAGTAACACTCCTTTAGATGCGTTCGAGCTGACTCAAGCGACCGCGAAATACAGAAAGACAAGAAACTAATTTTGCAGTTTATGAAGTTCGCTTTGATGGCAGCCATATATTTTACTTTATTTGTTTTTAGATTTGATCGAATGTCTTCACGATCCCTGTCATAATGAAGGCACATGCATCAACAATCCAGGCAGTTTTGCATGCGCCTGTAAACCAGGCTGGAAAGGAAAAACATGTGATCAAGGTAGACAATCACGAATACTATTTACTAAATATTAATATTACTATAAATATAGCTATTGATGGTTTTCAACCATTCCCATGAGAGTGAGCAAAACAAAAAGGTCCACCAGTCACGGTGGTGGTTTTCTTTTGTCAGGTCCACCAGCAATGGCGGACATCTTTTGTTTAACTTTCTCTCTTGGGAATGGTTGAAAACCATCAATTTATACTTCCACTCCTACAGGCACCATCACTTGCCATTCCTACTACCAGTACCACTCGACGTCACACTTCAATTTGACACTAGTATTCCCACCTGCACTTCACTATGTTATATACTAAATTGTACTATCACCATCAGCAGAACTACGTCCACTACTACCACAGTATAACAACAACATTTATAACTTTATGTATTAAATCATCGCAGATGTCAATGAGTGTTTAATATACAAACCATGTAAGAGCGAGAAGGAGTGYATCAATACTGCAGGAASCTACACATGTGTYTGCAGTGAAGGATGGCAAGGAAGACATTGCGAACAAGGTAAMYATGATTTATTTTCAGATGRAATGTTYTTTGGYATTTATTGCTCGTATCTTTGTTMCTWCCAGACTATGACGAGTGTTTAACCCTACCTTGCAAGAATAAAGGWAGATGTAGGAATACTCAAGGCAGCTACACATGTTCTTGTACTGGAGGATGGAAAGGAAAAAACTGCGAAATAGGTTTAAAGACTATTTGTTTACTTKTTGYTTGCTTGTTTTCTATCTGCTCACTGTTTAATTGAATTCTTTTCGCTTGTTTTGTTTGCTTTCTTGTCTTTGTCTCTGTTCACAGAGAGTTATTTCATGCCTTGTTTTCCAGATATCAACGAGTGTTTGACCAATCCATGYCCTAAAAGAGCAACGTGTGATAATACTGTTGGAAGTTATAAATGCAACTGTAAGCCAGGTTGGCAGGGACTTAACTGCAACCAAGGTAATTCAGGGAGTGATCATGAGTTGGTGTTTCATTGCAATTTGAGGTTGTGAGACCCCATTTTTAATCTAGATACCGACGAGTGTTTGAAACGTCCATGCAAGAACCAAGGAAAATGTGCCAATACTGCAGGAAGTTACAAGTGTACATGTGCAGGAGGATGGAAGGGACAAGACTGCGACGTGGGTAAGGCATTAAACAACAATCATTATCATTGACATCTTCACCAGCATCAATTTACCTTACAWGCCGTGTTTCWCTCAATTTMAACACCTTTCCTCTTACTTCCCAGCTCCAATAGCTAAAGTTGTAAGCTTGGCAGTCGTCGATACCGTTACCACTCAAAATGGTTCTTTCGTGACAGTCCGTTGCGTGACCTCTCGATATAAAGGCGTCACTATCAAATGGCTTCTTAGTGGCCAGGACGTTAGTACCAAGTCACGTGGTATCTGGTATGTAAATGAGTATACGAACAGTCAACTGCAAGTAAACTTCACSAATGTTCTTAGTGTGAGCCCAGAGTACAATTGTCAAGAAGCCAAGGGGTTTCAGCTTGACTGTACAGCAATGGTAACATGTCAAGCCGTGCGTGACAGCGCTTTGAATGACAGGAAAGATCACGTGATAAAGATTACCTTGGGTAGGCTTGACTCTCTAGAGTATTTTTTCTACCATTGTTGTTGTTGTTGTTGTTGTTGTTGTTATTTCTGTTGTTGTTGTTGCTTCTGTTGTTGATCCGTTATGATGAATTTGACTTCATAACTCTTTTTTCCAGCACGTAAACTACATATAAAGCACTTGGATGTTGCTGGCAGCTTGCGTAGTACGACAAGCACGTTTGTTACCATCAGGTGCGTCGTATCAGGAGACGAAGCTGTCATGATAAAATGGCTTCTTTGTGGTCGAGATATCACCGAGAGATCGCTCGGTAGTAGCTATATCAAGAGCGAAACATCAAGCAAACTAGAAGTGAACTATGCCAGCGTATCCGATATACTCTCACATTGTAAGTTCAAATGCGAGGACGTGGAAAACTCACAAGTTAAATGCAAAGCYGAAGTTTCATGTCAAGCTTTACGAGCGAACACCATTGGACTTAGAAAAGATCAAGTAATGGCAGTATACATGCCGAAATCTAGTACTTCAGAAGAATCAAGTTTGTTGATTGTWATCGTGGTTGCTGTTAGCTTAATAGTATGCTTAATTATAGGAATTGTGGCTTCGTTTTGCTGGTACTCGGCGAAAAAAAGGAAAAAATTGAATTGAACGGCGTGTCTGAGTTACTCGTCTGCTGTTCATCGTCTCAAATCGGTTGTTGGTTGGTTGTTGGTCGGCTGCTTGTCGGTAAACTGTAGCTGTTCTTCGGTTGTAAGCCGGTTTTTGATCGGCTATTCATCGGTTGGTGTTTTTTCTGTGTGTCGGGTATAAGTTTAGTAAGGTGCAAYTGGTGCAATAGGATTTTAGATGGTTAGTTAGTTTTTATAATTACTTGTAAGTAATGTGTAAATAGTCTATATTATAGAACCGATCACAAATTAATCTGTATCAGGCGGAAAAGTGAATAAAAGTGCATGTGACAGATCCTCACACGTATTACTTTCCTACTCAAAACTGTCTGCGCACAAAACTGGTTCGCGCAATACGTGAATATATTTAATGCCAAAAACGAGCCAATCAAAACTCTCCAAGTACGTTTCTGCACATCAAAACCTTAGTACCATATCCCGGGTTTAAATCTTTTTCAGCAGAGCTTAGTCAAGCAAGAAAGAGGTAGGATATGAAATGTTRATAGGCCGATAATTAAACCCTTGAAATCCAATAACTTAGAAAAGGTGCGATATTCAATTGTTATATTATAGCTATCATATTACGCGCTCTCTGGCGCCTCCGGCTCGAGATTGGTTTACGCCTTTTTCGTGTTCTCCCAACATACCACGTGGTTTATTTCACCAGGAACGCACGAAAAAATGTGTTGTTTATTGCTTAAATAATCAATTATATTAGCGTTAACTAGGTTTTGTAA